ATCTGAGGACTGCAGTTCAAAGCCAACACAGGCAGGAAAAATTGGTGAGACTCTTATCACCTTCAATTAACTACCAAAATATGTGGAAGTGGAGGTGTGGCTCAAGTGGTAGAGCACTGGCATTGAGATAAAAAAAAAGCTCTGAGGCAGTGGACAGTGCCCAGGACTATGGGGCTGGGGTATTTACCAAATTCTGAGAGTAACTGATAATGGTTGCTGGTTATGATTAAGGGTCATCAGTGTGAATTTTCCAGAACTTATAGTCTGTTCCTGACATATACAAAGTACTTTGAGTGACTAGAGGGACCACAAAGAAATTCCAGTATTGACAAGTAGAAGTAGGGTTGACATTCCCTACTTTAGGGGTCTCAATAGAATCTACAATTAAAATAGAACATCAGTTCTCTCTTCGCACAAGAAAAGTTTATTATTTTGTGATACACTAAGCCTTTATGTTCTGAAGCCCCCATCTCAGTATGTATGTATCCTTCATTCTACCCAAAACGATAGGCACATCTTCATGTACCTCTGAGCTCTATACAAAATGCTTCTTTCTGTGAGGTTTTCTCATCTTACACTTACCAGTATTTGAATATTAAAATATTCCCTTAGAAGAAAATACCAAATATTTTCATGTTGTGTTTGGAATATTTTAATGTTGAAAACATCCAGAAAGAATGTCTTAAAACTACCAAAAACCAGTGTTTGTAACTTGAAGTTCCTGCCATATTTCTATTACAGGTTCAGTAGTTCTATAGTCTCTTTCAAAACAGTGGGATGGAAACATGAAGAACATCAAATTCTTCAAATCCTGTAATGTTCCATAACTTTACTGATGTTGTCTCTGGAGCAGAGCACAGGAAAAAGAAAACTCAGCCAATGTCTTATTGATTGGTGGTAAAATAGAAAAAGGTTAATGGCATTTTCTTAATTTCTGAACTTTATTACTCTCCCTTGCAGAGTTTATGAAAGACAAAGAGGAATTTTTACTTGCATTCATGTGTTTTTTATTAAATTGAGAACATTTGCATTTGCCAATGCAGGATTATATTTTCTCTGTTTGCCTATTACATGTATTTCTCTCTGTGTGATTCTAAAGAGAGTAACATAATTCAGAGGCTTAAAGCATTTTAGGGTAATTCTGGCTTCAACACAGTAACAGTCTAAGACCAATTGGAGCTCAGTGCAGTTGTATTTTCACTTGTCCTCCCTAAGGAAAACTATGTCATTACATTGTACTATAAAGGCCAAATATTTGCTAAATAAAACACAATGAAATGAATATTAAAAGCACACTAGGTAAACACCTTTACTCCAGGGACTAACTGATTCACTAAAGAAGCACTGTAATTCTTTCAGAATGCAATTCTGACTACTACTTTTTTTTGCTCAAATTCCTCCAGTGGTTTACTGGATACACTTACAAGGAAATCCAGATTCCTAGCTGTCTTCTAGGCTGTCCAGGAGCCCTTCTGGCCTGTGAATCCTTTGATCTGCATCATAACATCCTTCCTGATGTTCCCATGCAACCAGATATGCTCCTGAATCTCAAGAATTTGGCACTATCTGTGCCTGCCTTCCAGAACAGTCTATCCTGACCAGTCAGTACCTCTACTTCATTCAGGAATCAGGTCTGGCTTTGCCAGAGGGACCTTTTCCCACTGTGTCTTTAGAGCCTCCATTATTGCCTCCATTATTCTATCTGGTCCTGCTTTCTTGGGTTTACATGTCTCAGCAGTATCTACTTTTAAATTACATATTTACTTTTCTTTGTTGTTTGAAACAATCTCCCTGTGTAGCCTATTTGGGCCTCTACTTCATGATCCTTTTGACACACACCCAGCTTTTTGTTCAGTATTTACTGACTGTCTCTTTTGATATCTGTACTTAACCTGAGTCACTTTAGAGTAACATTCAAATATTTGTGGTAAAGATGTGTTTGTTGGATGAGCAAATGAAATATGATGTCTAACTCACATTCCTATTTCAATCATACCCTGGTAGGAATAGCCTCTAGTCTTGGAACTAAAGGATGGATACTTAAGGGGAAGTGGCTAATCATGTTTGACTTGTTGTTTTATATACATACATATATATATTTAAAACATGAGCTTTTCCCTTTCTTCACAAAGCCAAGCAATTTTTTAAAATTAATAAACATTTTATTATAAAGTAGATAAAAATAAATGAAGTCTGGGTTACATAATATGTTGTCAGCTGAGTCCTAAAAGTACCCTAAAACTTTTTCTTCTTTTTTAAAGCTAAAAACAAGGTACAGCTTCCATTTTGGATATCAAGATATTCTTCTTCTTTTTTAACCTCTTTGTGGACACACTCTCAGTATTAAAGTAGAAATATGATAATCTCAGAGCAGGGTTAAGGTACATGGCAAAGACTGGAGGATTTTTTTTTCTCTTGTTGGAGTACTGATGTTTAGAACTCACAGCTGTGGATTTGCTAGGCAGACCCTCTACCACTGAGCCACACCTCCAACCCTTTTTTTGCACTGGTTACTTTTGAGATAGCGTCCCTCCTTTCTTTCTCCCAAGTACCTAGGGTGACAGGGCCTGACTAAGGCTGGAATTCTGTGTGTGGTATGCACTGATATTAGCACTGGAACTCAGGGATTCTCAGCTTCCCTTGGCATTTTCACTCAACTTTGGTGCTCTGCTACTTGAATCTAACTGTCATTTCTGCCTTTTTGCTGGTTAACTGGAGATAGAAATCTCTGAGATTCATCATGCTCCTCAGTATTCAACTTCTTGAGTAGCTAGTATTACAAGTGGGAGCTTCAGGAACTCAGCAAATTGGAATACTTATATTTGGTTCCAAATAGATCCCTTGTGAGAATCATATCTTAATGAATTTTCTATAATTCAAGTTTATGCCATAGATAGATATTTGCTATATAGACTTTCTATGAATACCTTATAGGTGCTGGGAAGAAGTGAAAGTGGATCTTAAAGCATAAAATAGTTTAATTAACATGCTACTCAACCTATTCCTCTTTTTAAAAGTTTAATAAAGTATATCTAAATTATATGTGTGCATAATGTCAGGTTTTTCTCTTCTATCCCTTAATTGTTCATATGTTTGTTCTTCAAATTAAAAAAATGGGTATTATTTTTATTTTTTTTTATTTTTTATTTTTTTTGGGTCCGGTTGTGGGGCCTGAACTCTGGGCCTGGATGCTGTCCCTCAGCTCTTCAGCTCAAGGCTAGCGCTCTACCACTTGAGCCACAGCACTACTTCAGGCTTTTTTCTTTTTGCTTATGTGGTGCTGAGGAATCGAACTCAGGGCCTCATGCATGCAAGGCAAGCACTCTACCACTGAGCCACCTTCACAGCCTGGGTATTATTTTTATAGGAAGTAAATAATTAAAAATTTTATTTTACATATCAAGGTTTGCATCTTTATGTTTTCTGTAAAGGTTCAGAAATCAAATACTTTTTGTCTTCATAGGCCACTTAATTTCTGCTGCAACTACAGGTCTGTCATTGTAATGCAGACAATAGTAGATAAATGTACATGGCTCTGTTCTAATTCAGCTTTTTGAAAGGAAGCAGCCAACAAGATATAGTACTTTTCCAACCCCTCTATACTGTACTCTAAATTTTAGAGAGAAAGTTATCTATTTTTGAGGGATAAAGTTGTCATAGTTGAGAATGAGGCAGATCCATCCTATAAATTCTCATTAAATCAATTGAAATCAAGTCCAAATTATATAATTTGATAATAGGAAGTTTAAGTTCTAATGAATGACATCATCTCTTGTGTAATCCAGAGTCTCCTATTACAAAAATGTGCACAAGATATATGCCACTTTAATTTTAAATATTTAAAAACTTCCTTTCCTTTCCTGATTGATTTGTTTTATTGTATAAAATATTACTCATCATGTTTCCCATTTAGTCCTGACAATCTTGAGATTTAATTAGGAACTAAAAGAGTTCAATTTTATCTTCTACTAAAGTAGCACTTATTAGACTAGATTGTGGGGGTGTTTGTTTGTTTTGTTTTTGTTGGTATCAGTCATGAGGCTTGAACTCAGGACCCAGGTGCTGTCTCCCACTTTTTTTGGCTCACAGCTAGCATTCTACCACTTTAAGCCCCAGCACCACTTCTAGTTTTCTGGTGGTTAATCAGAGATAAGAGTCACACAGACTTTTCTGCATGGGCTGGCTTTGAACCAGGACACTCAGATCTCAGCCTACTGAGTAACTAGGATTATAGGTGTGATCCACTGACACCTGACTTAGACTAGGTTTTTATAGTACCATTTCTATAGTACCTATTCTTTCATTGATTTAATTATTTTTGAAAGTAGGTAGGAGATAGGTATTGAAATGTCAGGTGTTAGATCTCACAAAAGAGTAAAATTAATGGTGGCTTCCTAACAAAGATAATTTTTTGAGCCTGTTTTCAAAGATGAGAGGTAAGAATTGGATGGGAACAAAAGACTAAAAACTTTTGGATCAGGGTTGTAGGGACAAAGACATCAAGATAGAACTTTAGAATATTGGACCAAAGTAGATGATTGTGAAGCCAACAAAGGTCAATAAAATTATGAGTTGGCTAGTTTCAGAGTAGAAATGGATTTAAATTTCTGTTTCTTAATTAGTACATAAATAACAAGAGTCGACATTCGGGACACTATTCTTAGACTCTATAGAGGAGAAAATTTTAGTTAAGTAGTACTACTTAGCATTATGTTTGTAAGGTGAGAATCATTATTTTGTATGTTCATGCATTATTCTACTGCACTTATACTAATAGTAATTCGCTAATTATTAACAGTGTCATTCTTACTATATTGTGAAAATATTTAAGCAAAACGATTACTGTTCTATAGTACATTTAGAGTAACCAAGGCTTTTAATTCTATAGCTTTTATGCTTACTTTATTAGAGCATAATCTATATATGTATGTATATTTATGTGTTTAAATTCTTTTATTTCATATATAATATCTTCTAATTTTAATTTGCTTTTCTTTCAGTTGTTTTACAGGTTTGCAGTCTGGTCCTTTACCCAATCAAGTTCATTGAAACTGTGAGCTTGAAAATTTACCATGAGTTCAACTGGGGTTATGGTCTGGCCTGGGGTGCCACTATATTTTCATTCGGGGGTGCCATCCTTTATTGCCTGAACCCTAAGAACTATGAAGACTACTACTAAACCAAGTCTCAAGATAACGAAAAAGAAAATAACCACCCAACAAAAGATTTATGTCTTCATCTTTTCTAACTCACTATTTTCTAAAACACTTGTAGAGCATCAAGCAGTTTACTCAGTTGATTTAATACCCTTTGCCTTTTGGCTATCAACATCATAACCAGCTTTTACATTCATTTTAGGGACCTGCACAAATTAAGAGAGCTGATTAGACATAGGCAAATGCTGCAAACTTCCATTATGTTCATGTCATTTTTCTTGACAAGTGAAGGGTCTGTATGACAGCAACCATTGTGAGAAACTAGTTGGAATGAAAATTGACTGAATCTTTTATTGCCTGCAGGGTAGCAGCTGGCATAAGCAACATTCAGATGTTCCTTTGCACTGACACAGATTCTACTGTTCAGAGCCCTTATCACCTGTTTATTCACCCAGTGACTTCACTGGCTATTGGTTATTGCTCAAGTGATCTCTTGAAAAGTGACCTGCTCTTTAGGCATCTAATGGGAGTTGTGAATATAACTGGTTAACAATACAAATTCCACCTTCAAGAATACTCTTTATAATGGGAGGTTATACTCTGACAATCAACATCTCCCTGGGAAGGAATTCAAGACTTGGAGCCATGTGTTTTTTACTATGTGGTTAGAAATCATGCCTCCTTCTCATCTAAAATGGAAGAAAATTAAGGATCTCTGCTTTCCCTGAGGCAATCAGAAAGAAATATGCATGAGCTACTTTTGTGCCCTTTAAATAATTTACCAAACATTGCAGCAAACATTTGTGCATATGTAAGAAGCTTAAATTTTTTTAATAGGTGAACATTAGTATAAATGGTAATAAGCTGTTTCTTGGCCCTCCACATATATTTACTAATCACACATATAATTCATATTTGCTCTAGTGAAGTGGTTTGAACACTAACCTTGTACACATCATCAAGAGGCTTAGATTGGTATTCACACTTACTTGCCATACAAAAGTACATATACCTTAAAGCTTTTGCTCTATGTTCTCTACTGTTTTCACTGGAAAGTGTTAATAGAATTGCCTAAGAAGAAAAACTGAAATGATATTAATCTGAAAATTAATGATTCTTCTGTAAGCACTGTAGTTCAAAAGAGAATTAGCAATTAGGATGATCACTTTGTGTGAAATTTATTAAAATACCAGGCTGCTGCTATTTTTGCAAGTATTTTAAATGTCTTCATTTTTAAAAGCCCAGAAATAGTGATAGATTTATAGAAATGTTTAAATGTCTCAGTAGAGGAATAGAATTCATTTGGTTATCACCAGGTCCTCTAAAGTGAACTGACAGGCTAACTGATTTGTGCACACAAGTATAATGGATTTTTGTTAGGGAAATCACTTACTGACTATTCCAAGGGAAGGAAATATCAACAATAGGGACTAAGTTTGCAACTAATCTCATATTGCAAACTTGTGTTAATTCTGTTTAATACACAAATTTGAATAGTTTAATTATAAACCTATTTTTATATAAAATATACAATTCTAATATGAAAGTTATAAATAATTATTTTTGTTAACAAAGACACTGAAATAATATGTTCTAGTTTGGCCCTCTTACCGAAAGAAGCATTGGAAAACGAGGAAACAAATATACCAACAACTTGCTATTGTATTACAAAATCCATTACAAGCAGGACCACATCAATAGTATTTAATAGTTTGCTTTACCTCCCAGAGCAGAGTTCTGCTTTCAGATTGTCTTAAAAATAATTGCCAACAAAACACAGCCCTCCCCCCTCAAAAGAACCTATTTTATTATCCAACTGCCAAAAAACCACTTGTGAATTTTCTATAGAATCATAAAGTAAATACAAAGTACCAGGCCTATTCTTATTTTTAGTAATGATAGACAACTGATTAAATGTGTCCTAGAAAGAAACTTTTATAAAAGTATATGATTCTATGAAGAAGCTATAAGAAACTATGATTGGAAATTTTCCAGAAAGATGTTAATACTATAGAATATTTCCAAGCAATTTTACTATAGAATATTTCCAAGCAATTTTCCTGAGAAATATACGATCTGGGACAGACTGTCTTGCAGTTAATTGCAGAGAGAACAGCATGAAAAACACACTATTTGGATAGGGATTTGAGCTACTGAACATACTCTATTGTGAGATGATCTCTTTATTTCTGAATAATGGAAGAGCAAGCAGTACTTTGGTGCTGCCATCAATGAGGCACTTTTTATGGGCCCAGTAGAGGATACCGTGTGCTGTTAGACCAGTATCATGTCTAGAATCTTATCAAAATTTTATTTTCTGTCAATATGACACACTGGAATGTGACAGAATCTGTTAGGTTGAGGCCCATACATTTACAGTTTATTGAAAAGTAGATTTATAACTTTCTCCATTCCCAGTGAAAAGCCTTATGCTATATTTTTACCATCACTAATATTAGGAAGTGTTTCATTACTAGGAAGGCTTAGTACAACAGGAGATTTGCTGTTGCTCACGTAAATACTATTTTGCCTATCAGAATATATACAAGTGAAAATTTCACCTACACTAACATTATGTCTTTGCCACTTTAGATTTGTTTGATGTTTTATTAAGCAAAATTGTTAACCACAAACCCATTGTTTATCTTAGAGAGATAATATATACTCACACATACCATAAAAGTACTCAGCAGGGCTAGTTAATCAGATTTCTTGCACAAGTATTTAGCTTTTTGTAAGTTCAACATGTAAATTTTAAAGACATAATATAGAGAGACCAATGTGTTTGAAATATAAATGATATATATGGATTAGCATGTACCTGTATATTATTAAACATGAAATGAACTGACTGGTAAGTGATGTCTAATTGTATGGCTAGCAATGTAATTTATTCAGACTGTATTTTTGTACAGAGCAGCGCACACTAACCTATGCCTCTGTGTCCTCTTTAATGCCTAAAACTGTGCCTAGAAATTTCATCTGTCTTAAATAAAGTATACTTCATGCTGTTTATGCTATTAGTTCTCTACTGCTATTCTGTATTTATTATTTTAAATATATGACATGTTTACTACTTAAATATGAATTTATGGAATCCTGGTTACTTTTTTTTAACATCCATCTGGGAGAAACTTGTTTATTGCTTCAGTGATTTGAGTTTGCAATTTCATGTTCAGGTCTTCATTTCATGATTTTTGTAGTTGACATGAAGTTATCTATGTGGAAAAAAATAAAAATAAAAGTGGTTTCACTGATATGGACTGGCTGTGTCTCCTACGTAAACCTTTCAGACAAAATTTTTTAATTACATGTCTTCAGTTTAAATATTTTCTTTCTCTGTGTATGTAGATAGATATAGATATATAACATAAATTAAAATGTGACATATTAAATTTAATTTAAAAAAATGATTTGCTTTTTACGGTACTGGGGAATAGAACCCAGGGCCTCAAATTCTAAAATAGCACAAAACAAGCCCTCAAACCATTTTAAAAAATATTTTATTATTTCAGACCAGGCACTGATGACTCAGGCAAGTAGTATTAGCTACTCAGGGAGCTGAGATCTGAGGATTGTGGTTCAAAGCCAGTAAAGGAAGGAAAATTCTTGAGATTCTTATTTCCAATAAACTCCCCCTAAAAAGCTGGAAGTGGAGCTCTGACTTAAGTGGTAGAGCACTAGCCTTGAGCAAAATAAGCTCAGGGAAAGCACACAAGCCCTGAGTTCAAGCAAGCCCCGGGTTTGGCACACACACACACACACACACACACACACACACACACACATCAAATTATTAGCTGGGCACCGGTGGCTCACACATGTAATCCTAGCTTTTCAGGAAGCTGAGATCTGAAGCTCACAGTTGAAAGCTAGCTCTGGCAGGAAAGCCCGTGAGACTCATTTCTAATTAACCATCAGGAAACCGAAGTAGTGCTGTGGCTCAAATGACAGAGTGCTAGCCTTGAGCTGAAGAGCTCATGGACATCACCCATGTCCAGAGTTCAAGCCCCAAGACTGACAAAAAAAAAATCAAACTATTGTTTCAGATTCTTAGCCAAGTTTCTATGTTCTGCCATTGAGTTATACGAAGAAGGAATGACAAAACAAAAAATATTGCAGTTTTTTTCAAATTCTTTTTTTAAGATACATAATGTAGGCCTATTTCCTGCCCTATATTTAGTATGAACAAGAATAGAGGGTTTGATGTAATTTGTTTCTTGTGCAATTTTCAGTGTCTATACAGTATATAAAAGCAGAATTTTCAGTTAAAGAAGCAATCTTGGTGTACACCTTTGTGTTTGGAGGGGATACATCAAGTTAAAATTTGCTATTACCCTTTCATGTGTAAAAATAATGAGTATACTTAAAAAGCAATTTAAATATTTAACAGAATTCACTTGTATGCATGCCAGAAAATCTTCCTAAAGATATAAATAGAATCATGCAATTGCAACTTTCTTCAGTTGATACCATTAGTCTAAAATATAATTTTTAGTAAAAGAATCCTTTTCATGTCTCACAATTTAGAGAGATTCCCAGTTTTTCTAAGAGGAAAATACTGTAAGCCTGTGATATATTTAATATCCAACTTTTAAATTGTTTATTAGTTGTAAATTCTAATATCTTCTTAGTTTTTCTGTGTACAACTTTCCCTTTTCTGTGGCTTTAAATTCTAATTTCATGGAACAGTATCACTCATTGAGGGTATGATTTTTTTTCTTTGTACTTGCTTGCATTTTCACACAGAATTCCCATGACCAAATCACCTTTACGAACAAACCTAGCTTAGTAATTATCCATGACCCAGTTTCTCTGAAATCGGAAGAAAGGGAGACACAGCTTCAATAGGATTTGACATGGAACATTCCTTTACCTTCAGAGATCTCATTGTAAACGTAAAACAAGAAAGCAATTTCAATTTACTTTTCCATAATAGCCATATGGCCTGTGAGCAGTCTGCTTTATTAAGTCAAGCCTGTGCTATGTCAACAAACAATGTTCCATTTCAGTGGTTTAAGTCATTCTGTTTAGAAAGTAAATTGATAGCAAAATTATTATGTATTCTGTAGAAGAATGCACTGAATATCTAAATTATTCATTTGTTTATCAAATTTTCATGTTAAGACTTTCTGTTAATGACATTTCAGATGTGCAGTGTTCAATGAGAAGATTAAAAGCAAATTAAAAATAGAACTAAGTGCTTAGTACTGTGTTTTGGGATACAGTATCATAGCAACTTAATCACAGAAATTAGAAACAGTAAATAACACAATAAAATGCTAGTGGTTTCATTATATAAAATGAATATGGGACTCTTGGGAAGTCCTCATATTCCTAATATCTACTAAATATTATTTGGGGAATATACTGGGAAAATTCATTTTCTAAAACTTACCATTGAGGTAACTCATATTTGTATTCTAAAAGTAATCCTAATGGTTCCAAAGTACAACTAAGAACAGGAGCTGAATTGTTCAAGTGGAAAGGATAATATGCGGTGTTTCTAAGCCAAGATTAATGGCACACAAAGAATGATGTTCTTTGTAAAACTAAAGCTGTGTTGAGAGGTTCACCAGAGAAACTTAGTTTTGGCAGGCAATTATTTCCAAGTTGAATGACTTCATAGAAATAATGATTGTAAAAGAAGCTTGGAACATGTACTGGAAAACCATGTCATCAAACCACCGGAAACCTTGAAGACATCAATCAGTCTCTGCAGGAGACAAGGATGAATGCAATATGAATAAAATAATATTCGTATTATCCATGGGTATATTAGCATACACATACACATGTTAATTTTTGTTGTATTAGGATGCATCTTTAGTTGCTCTCAAGGCATTTCTTTTATTTCTACTTTTCTGATGTGTGTGTGTGTGTGTGCACACGCGCACACACGTGCACACATGCACACACAGGTACCAAAGCTTAAATTCTAGGTTTCATAGCCCGTGCTCTGGCTTGGTTTGCTTGCTCACTGCTGGTACATTACCATTTTAGCATGCCTCTAGCCTGGCTTTTTCCTGGTTAATTGGAGATGGCATCGTGCAGACATTTTTGCCTAACTGACTTCCAAACTCCACCTTCCATGTTCCAAGTCTCCTCAGTAGCTAGGATTTCAGGTATGAGCTATCAGGAGCTGGCTGAAGGCATTTCTTAGACTACAGATGTAAATTATCCAGGAGTAGAAGTCAACATAAAAGTTTCATGTGCAAGATGATGATACTCG